TCCTCCATCTGTCTAAGCCCCTCGTCTCCTGATCTCTGTTAGTATCCACTCACCTCCACTCCTGCTTCCCTCTGGGTCACACACTAAAACCTTTCAAAGGCTTTCCTTTGCTATGAGGAGAAAAGCCAGAATCCTCAACCCAGTCCTGCTTGATCTGGCCCCTGTGCACCTCCCCACCCCATTTTCTGAATTTCATTTATCAAATATACTCTCTTCCTTCCACCTCAGGCCCCTCCTACTCACCCCAAACTCTCACTCAGTTTAGATTGTCACTTCCAGACTGCCCTTGCTCCTCCCCACCCCAGCTTGATGAGTCCCACAGCACACGGTGAGTATTCAGAATGATCACCACATGTGTAAGCCAAAGGCCGCACAGATGGTAACAGAGGCAGCCTTCAGACCCAAGAGTGGCCCAGAGCCCATCTCTAACAGGTGCAGGGCAGGGAACCAATGCCTCTCCCGGCTTTATCACTGCTCTGTCTTCTCACATGAGTGTGGAGTAGCCTTGTGACTTTAGACGTCTTAAGTCACTGGGTTGTTTCACTGACTAAATGAGAGCATAGAAATGTATATGTTTTACATAATCATGAGTTGTCAAGTACCAGATGTAATAGTTATCATGTTTTCTTACCCTCTGATAAACACTGCATTAAATTGCCAGACGAAGACATGTTTAAATTTTAGAACACAATTCAGTTGCCTTAGAAAACCTTTTCTCTAACCATCTGAACTTTAGCTTCCTCTTCTTTTCTGCAGGGTTCAGAATCTCCCATGATGATTGGCGAGTTGAGAAGTGACCTTGATGACGTTGATCCCTAGAGGCACGTGCCCAGCCTGAGAGGAGTCAAGTCACAATACTGGATGCTCAGCACCTTCTTGGAGTCAGAATTTCATCCTTGAACCCTTTGGAAGAGCCTGCAGATTGGACTGGGAAAGCTGCTGTGACTTCGGCAGATCGCATATTTCTCAAGGAAAGCGTTTTTAGGCCGCTAGCAGGTTTGGGAGCTGTTTGGCAGTGAGAATTCCGGCATGTGGATCAGCTGTCCTGGGAGCGCGGGCTATATGTGGATTCACATTTCTGTGGAGATTTTCAGAAATAAAGCCAGTGGCTGACTTTTTTGTTACACGAACATACAAGAGTGAGCATAAAGCTGTTGCTTTCTCTACGATGCTACAAAAGAAATTCCTTTGGTTTTTATATTTTAAGAAAAAAAGCAAGCTGCTTTTAGATATGTGGGGGCAAATTTTTAATCTTGCAGAAACATTAAACAGGAATATCCAGTTTAAAATGATGTAAACATATGTGATAAAATTCCTTTTCTTTGTAAAATAGTAGTTAAAGAAGTCAATTTACACAGACCTTTGTATTTAATATGTCTCCCTATTTGTATAGAATTTCAGATGGGTCTAGATGAGAACCCTATGCATAAGCTTGAATCTTGATGAAAGGTTACCAGGATCAGGATGAAAAATTGGGAAATATTAAGCTCTTGAAGGTATTTTTCTGATATAATTGAGATTGAAAAGAGCAATTTTTAAAATGCTGTGTTCTCCAGAAGTACAGGGTGGATTCTTTGACATCAATCACTTAAAGAAGTTATGAGTTGTTCCCCAAACAGATTTTTAAAACAGCAAAATAAAAGCACTTTAAGATATAATTTTACTGAGTTTGACTTCACAAAATTATCTTTTTAATGCTTGGAGACATATTGAATAAACTGTAGTCTTAAATCATGTGATCTGCAATCATTTGTTTTTGCTTAAAATGTAATTACCGAAACCCTTGGTATTGGTTGTATATGAAGTCAACCATTTGAGTTGGTACATACTGCTTGTGAGTTTCGTAGTAATTTTAATGCAGAGAAGGAACTTGAGAATTGTTTCTCCTCAACATGACTAATTAACACTGAAAAGACAGTCAAGGTTTAAGATTTATTTTCCCAGAAATAAATATAGAGCAATTGAATAACCATCTATTTAGTTGTGTTTCCAAAGTATAGCACCATTCGTTCATTTGTACCAGCTCCCTTTTTGGTGGGGGAGAAAAATTACACCCACATATTTCATAAATATTTTGTACGTTTTGTATTTTGACTTGCTCACATTTTCAGCCCTGTTTTGCCTTTAGTTATAGGTTCTGCCTTATTTTCATCTCACCGTGCACAGAACTAGGGAGCTTTAGGAAGTGCCAGGTTTCCACTGTCAGTGAGATTTGCCAAGTCACAGAGGCGCAGCCAGCCCCAAAGTGCCTGTCTGGCTGCTGTGGCATTGTGTGGGCACGTGGCCAGGCAGATGGCGTCTCATTGCTGTGCTCTCGCCATGGCCCAGTCACTTCATCGTCTGACAGTGAGGGTTTCTGTGCCATCAGACTTCACTTTGTTATTCTGTGACTTCCTGGAGGCTCACGATGCCCTTTGTCAAACATGCTAAGAAGATGGAAGGGCCAGCACTTAAGAGCAGAACTGTACCCTTAGAGAAACAGACAGAGGCGTGTGGCAAACTTCAGACAATTCCAGTGTTCTTGCAGTTTGAAATGTGATGTTCCAGTGCTGGTTCTGAGTACGTGAATGCTTCATGTCCGACTGTTTCCCCTACCCTCCTCACCTTCTCTCCACCCCCATCCTCACCAAGAGATTGTGTGGGACATGACCTTGAAATGCTGGCGATGATCCGCGCTGGGATGTCATCGCTGGCCACTGCACTCTCAGGAGCCCAAAATCAGGAGTGAAATCGCCACTTCTAGTCCCCTTATTTCCTATGGAAACAACGCCTTCCACACCCCAGCACCTGCTGTCCTCACTGTAAAGTTTCATCAGGATCGCTCACAGTGTATATTGTATGCTTCGGTTCATGTTGCTTACACCGTTGCTTCAGTGACCGTCGTTTTCACTTTGCTGGTAACCACTTGATTTCTGACAGCTACAGTCAGTGAACCTGCTGATGACTTTTTTTAACGTAGTACAACAGTGACAATTATGACAGGCTTACCTTGGAAGAGTTGTCATTTTTACTGCCAATTTTTTGGATGAAGATGTTTTTATAAACCTTTCAAAATGGTCTGCAAACAGAGCAGGAATTGCACAATTAACTCAATGCTGTGTCTCAAGCAGCTCCCTTAGTGAGGCCAATCTTAGGATGGCCGATTCTGCCCGCTAAAGGCATCCTGGGAAAGAAAATAAGCATCCCAGCGGGCATCTCACCACGACTTCTACAGTCCTCACACAGTCACTGACAACTACAATCAGTTTTAGGAACTAGAGCGCCGTATCATCAAACTTACCCTGTCCTGCCCCACCTTCCCTGCTAACATTGAGGTGTGTGCAGTACCTTTTGAGCTTGGAACAAGCAGACTGGAATTTTCCTCTGCTACCTCTTGTGTATAAAATCTTGTTTATAAAATTTCAAAAGGAAGTAGATACACTAGGGAAGAACCTTAATTCAGAATTTGGTTCTTGCGTGGCAAAGTTCTTAGCTTCTAAGAGTATAAAATAAATTTTTCAAAAACATAAGAGTTGGAGTCTCACGATTTTTCATATAGCAGAATACAGCCGTAGTGGGTGGGGGAACAGCATGGGCCTGTGCCTGGTGCTAAATGGTATGATTCCTCTTAGCACTTTACACTGATAAAGGAGACTGTGGGTTCTCTTAGCCTTTTGCTGTTCTTTCGTCTGGAGAGGCTGTTTTAGGATTCATCTGCAAAGCTTAGAGGAGGACGCTGAACTTAGGTTGATGGTCTACATTCATCTCCACCAAAGCTTTCCGCTCTCCCAAGTGGTCCCCAGCATAGATTTGTGTCACTGATCATGCTGGGCTTCTTGCTAGATTGCACAGGTCTCCGTCCCGGTCCTAGTGTCCAGCGTTGCTCACATGGGTTCCCTTCCCTATTTGCTAGTCCAGATCTTCCTCTTCCTGCAAGTCACGCCCCTTCCTCCCCCACTCCTGGTGACCATCTGCCAACCCTCTGCAAGAACCAAGTTGTTACAACGTCACAGGCCTGTCGGTGTGGATTTCTAACCAGCTAACACTTGATCCTGGGGAGGGAAGGAGAGTGAGAGTCCAGGGCTGCACAACAGGCAGAGGTTCCGATGGGCAGATACACATAGTTAGGGTGTTCGAGCCATTGCCATCTGTCAAGTCTTGAATGCTTTCCATATAAGACACTGAATTGTCCGAAAATGTAATCTGGGAGAATTTTTGCCGGAGATTCCTGATGACATGGGCAGTGTAGACATAGAACTTGCTTCAGACAGCTGTGCTCACTAGCCTTAGAGTGGAGGGCCGGGAGGTCCCACATTGAATGGGATCATTATGCACTGTAACCCAGGCTTCAGTGCAGTGATGCAATTATGACTCATTGCACTCTCAGCCTCCCAGCTCAAGCAAGCCTCCCACAGCCTCCTGAGTAGCTGGGACCACAGGCATGTGTTACCACACCCAGTTAATTTTTTATAATTTTTTATAGAGCTGGGGTCTCACTGTGTTGCCCAGAGTCTTGAACCCCTAAACCCAAGCAATCCTCCTGCCTCAGCCTCCCAAAGTACCAGGATTTACAGGCGTGAGCTACTGCACTCGGCCTGAGACTGTTGTGAATTGGAAATCATGAAAAATGGCCATGGACGTAGCACTGGCTCATTACAGAAGCATCTGGCACTAACTTATTCCATAAATACTCTGGGTCAGGCTTTGTGCCAGGTACTGGGGAAAAAAGAATGAAAATGGCATTGGGAGATCAGGACAACAGAGCATCTAGCGTGCTGTAGGGCACCCATCAGCAAGGAGGAGGCACTTCGACTGCCAGGGTGGTCAGGGGAGCTGCAGGAGGACATTCATTTCACTCCCAGGACAGGCGTAGGAATAAACTCATCACCAGTACTTGTCAAATACTTACACTCAAGATACAAGTACCCTTCAAATATTTGGCTTACTCAACAATGTAACAAACTTACACAGGTCCTAGTATAAGCAAGCCATCACCCTAGGCAGTCAAGTCTAAGCAAGAGTCAGGACAAAGTTGGTTTTTTATTTTAAAAAGTCACCATAGTAATAAAAATGCTACAAAACCCAGAATAAATAACTTCAAGTTACAAAAGCAAAACAGGTCTAGAAAAGCTGGCTGTAAAATGGCAACAGAGAGGACAGGCCCAAAAGATAAATGTCTGCCTGCCTGGGGGGGCTGGTGCTCAAGGAGGGACCGTTGTCTCTCTCCGCCCGCCCCATCCCTTAGAAGCTTCTCCACCAGGCCACAGTGAATCAGGTCGAGGTGATAACGGGAAAAGTGCCGTGCCTGCAGGCATCACTCACCGAGCTTCCTGGTCTGCGTTCCCCTTCCCAGCCTCACTGTTACCTGTACAAATGAGGTGCCCAGCCAGGTAAAGTAAGAAGAGGCTTGGCTTCAGAGCCAGTGCAGTCTGGGTTTTCCAGCTCACTTCCTGGCTGTGTGCTTGGCAGGCATGCCCCCTCTGGTTCCAGGTTTCTTCCTCTGTAAAGTGGGGGTGCAAATGTGTACTCTGCCGGGTAGTGGAGCGGGTTGGCTGAGACGGCACGTGCACCACTACACACTGCAGAGTCAGTCGAGGTGATGGCTCCCTGCAGGCCACCCCTTGGGTATTAGCACAAGCTGGCACAGAACAGAGTAAGGGTGGCTCAGGAAACCAAGGCACAGTCCATGACCACCAGGGACACGTCAGTCGCCAGCCTCTGGTTAGATGCCATCCAGAAAGCTGAGCCTCCATTAATCAGGGAGCCCTAAGGGGCTTCCCCACAGTGAGCACTCACCCCCCAACAATGCTTGTCCCTGCAGCCCCTACCACCTCCTCCCCTTCCCATGGGAAGAATCCTGCCTTCTTGGTGGAGACTGGAGGATTGAATGCCTGGCACGGAACAAGAGTTCAATAAAAGTCATTCTGCCCACAGGCGTCGGCATGTTGGGAGCAGCTGGCAGAACCTGAGCACAGCTCCACCGTTTCAATGGTGAAATGCTCCACAGCGAGGGAGGAAGCTTCCTGGCACCTCCACCAGAGGAGGGGGCATCCAGAATGAGTGAGTTCCAGGCAAGGGGCCTGCCCCACACAAGGGCCAGGCCAGCAGCTCCAGGAAGGTGTAAGTATCCCCGCCCCCTCGGGCCAGGCCATGGAAGGCTGAGGTAGGGGCAAGTCGGAACCATTTGAAATCTCAGCCCCTGACTCTCCCCAGGCACCTGTCCTGAGGTGGGGCTGTCACTGGAGCTCCTGGGAGGCCTGCGCCAGGTGCCGGCTCCGGCAGCAGATGGCAACGGCTGCCACAGCCTCTTCACTGGTGCTGCCTGTGGTGCTGACGTCCCGGCTCCTGACCACACATGTGTCGTCTACGGCATAGGCCCCCAGGACATGAGAGGTCCCAGGGAGGGCACTGCAGCCGGTCAGGGTCCAGCCCTCCTCGCAGGCCACAGTGACCTGCCAGAGCCCAAGGAGAGGAAGAAAGCACATGTCCATCATGGCTGGGAACCCCACCCAGACTTCATTTCTCTCCCGCCCCGACATCTCGCTGTGGGGCTGAAGTATAGACGGCCCTCGCCAGCTCAGGGCCCATTTGGGACACAACCACGTATCTCCAGCCCACACCTCCTGCCTCAGCGGTTCTGCACCCTCACTGACCAAACGTGAGCGCTTGCTTCATGCCTGGTTTGAGGGGGCGCAGAGACAGACAGATGCCTACCATACTAATGCCAAACTCATCTTCCCTCTGAAACTGACGACCCCACAGCCTGCCCCATCCCACTTGATGGCAACTCCATCTGTCCAGGGGCCCGAGCCTTGGTGCCGTCCTCCCCTTCTCCCACCCACATGCACCCACCAGGCCTGCAGGCTCCCTTCAGACTCCAGTATCCACCACATCTCCGGCCCCAGCCTGAGCCCCGCCCCCACACCTGGACTCTCCAGTCTCCCTGCTTCTGCACAAGGCCCTGGTCATCTCTTCTCAGCTCAGCAGCTGGGCTGCAGTGAGATGTTCAGATCCAGGCCAGATCACACTCCTCCCAGGCCAGACCCCTGAGTGGCCCTCAAGTCTCACCTGACTTGGCCCTGTCCCCTCTGAGGCACCCCCCACCTCATAACTTCCTACCTCTCTGGCCTCCTGGTACCCCCAGGCACATCCCCCTCCAAGGGCCTTTGCTCTGCCTGGAACGTGTTCTCTGCCCTGTCCTCATGCCCATTTCCTGCACCTTCTCAGCAAGACTTCTGCTGACCTCACCCCCACGCCATTCCCTTCCTGCATAGCATCTTTTCAGTATTCTATCATTGGCTGGTTTGTTTTCTGTCCTCACCCACTAAAATGGATGCTCCAGGAGGAAGAACAAATGTCTGTCCGGCCTGTATCCCTCCCCAGCACCTGGAACCTAGCAGCCCTCAGTGCACACAGGGCAAGTAGATCCAAGACCAAGACTGTCTTTTGCTCTCGAGGAATGCACCATCCAGACCTGAATGAACACAGACTTGCATTTTAAAACCCAGTCTGAGTTCACTTAAGAGTGGACTCCTTAGGGCTGCCTTTTAAGAAGCTCCCACTGGCTTTTAAAAAGGAGCATTACAGAGCAACCGTTGGCCATGTCCACACCCAGGTTTCTAGAAGGCCTGGCTCTCACATTCCAGGGCTTGGCACGTGCCTCACTAATCTCAGCAGGGCCCTCTCTTGCCTTGCTGGTCAAGCTAATAACCTTCAGCCTGCAGCTCAGGCACCCCCTCAGGGTCATGGCTGAGAGCTCTGTGTCCTCAGAGCCCAGTGCTGCTCCTGGCCCTGAGAACCTCCCAGGTTTGTTAAATAGATCTGTGAGGCCAGGTGCAATAGTTCATGCCTGTAATCCCAACCCTTGGGGAGGCTGAGGCCAGAAGATCAATTGAGCCCAGGAATTTGAGAACAGCCTGGGCAACATAGCGAGACCCCATCTCTGCACAAAGTGGAGTGGGATACCCAGGTAGCAAACCTTACTGATCTGGACAAAAGCAAAAACAGACCCAGCCACACACAAACACATACACGTGCTGTCCACACAATGGCCGAAGCTGCCCACAGCATCTACCCACAAACCGCCACCCTGATGCATGACCATGTCACAGTGGTGGCACAAACTGACATAGAGAAGCTGCACAGGACAGACACATACCACCCCGCGGCACCCCACCCACCCAGCCCCACACGCCTCTTCACCTGCTCCTGAGGGGCTGGGAGCCCATGCTCCTTGACTTTGCATTCCAGACCTGGGGCATGGCAGCAGGAAGCGTGGGTGCTGGCCCCCCTGTGGCCCATGCACTGGTCGGGCTGACCTCCTGGCCTCAGCACAGGCGGCTTGTGGGTGCCAAGGTCCTCTACCTCCCAGTGGGAGCTGCAGCCTGGGGCAGAGGAGGGCCAGCTCAGATACTGAAATGCTGGGACACTTCTTCTCCAGTGCCCATCCCCATCAGACCGTCTCTCTTTAAGGTCTGAGGCAAGAGCTACGAAACCCAGAAACAACTCAAAGAAGAAAAGAGATGCTGGCCTGAGCATCAGGACTCCTGTGTTCTCAACTCCACTGCCGACCAGCTGTGTGACCTTGGGAGAGCCATTCAACCTCTCTGAGCCTTAGTTTCTCAGGGAAAACATCATCTCTCCACCCAGAGATGGAGGCAGTAAGGCAGGGGATCTATGGCCTCAGATGCTCAAACTCCCCCCAGACCCTCCCCAGGCAATAGTTGCCTATACCAGAGACTAAATGTTAAAGCAATGGGTGATGACAACAATAGTAATGATAGCTAGAATTTATATTGTCCCAGCACTAAGCTAAGTGCTTAGCACCCATCATTTCCTCTAATGAGGAAAATGTGGCACAGAGATGTTAAGTAACTTGCCCAGGTCACACAGCTATTGAGTGGCAGTGAAATTAAACCAAGGTCTGCCCTCCTTTCAGCCCAGCCTGGGGCCTCTCTCTGAGCCGCCTCTGTTGCGCTGCATCACCTTAGGCAAAGCACCTGCCATGCTCCCGGCCAGTGCCCTAGATGCTGCCCATCTCCTCGCAACCCAATGAGGCAGCTAATACCTTTTTCCCTCTTATGCAGGAGGAAGCTGAGATGAGGAGAAGTAAGGTCGCCTGCCCAGGGTCAAAGGGCATGGAAGTGGCAGGACAAGAGTATGCCATAGAAAGTCAGGCTCAAGTCTCACTGATCACACTGGTGAGGACCAAGCCTCGAGGGCAGTGGATGCATAAGGAGACAGGGAACCCTCCTCACCCACGGGCAGGCCCAGCCTCCTACCTGTGAGGACGTGGCCCTGCTGGTGGCAGTGGGCATGGGTCCCCATGCCGGCCCCAGCTGGTGGAGCTGTGTGGACGCTGCAGTTGGCCTGGGGTAGCAGGCAGCACCTGGCAATGGCGTAGACACCCTCGCCCCCAAAAGCGTTGTGGGCCAGGCAGACCTGCCTGCCCTCTTGGGCCTGAGAGTCAAAGACAGAAATGGGAATCCGCTTTAGAACTGGCTTTGAAAACACAGGAAGAGACTAGACAGGATCAACTCAAGCACCCTCATCAGTGTCCCTGCCAGCCAGACCCTGCTTCTAGCCTTCTGGGGACAAGGAGATCGTTCCTGCCCAGGGTAGACTGTTCTGCCAAGCGGCAGCTCTGAATACTCGAAAGTTCTTCCAAACATGGGGTGATTTCAAAATGGAGATATACAGGGAAACACAAGGGGCCAAAGCAAGGACCCAGCCGGCTCCACCCCACCCCCTCTGCCTCTCACATGAGCACTGGGACACCATCTCCCAGGCCAGAAATGCCTGCCCCTCCTCACTCTCCTGGCTGGGCACTGCCCTTCCACCAAAATGCTTTGGCCAGATGGCATCTGTGCACTTTCCCGTAGCATCAACACCAATTCCCCTTTTTTACTGGTTTGAGATTTCTCAGCTCCCAGAACCATGGAGCATCTGAGTGAGATGGCTGAGTCCAGAGTAGCAGGTCCCTGACCCTCACCCTGCCCTGCCCCATGCTCACACCCAGATGGACGCTGAGAATCCATCCAGCACTGTCCTGCAGCCTCCAGGAAACCCTTCCTCCCGTGGCTCTCTCCAGCAGCCCCCAACCGTGTGAGATGAGGAGTGTACCACTCCCGCCCTGGCCAGCCCTGTAAGCTTACAGAAGGGCTGGAGTCTGGAGGATGGAGTCTCTGAGGGCCCAGTGCTAACACGCATGCATGTGCGCGTGTGCACACACACACACACGCACCCACACACACACACACACATAAAGGAGGGGTGCAGTTCACCTCGATGCGCTCGCCCCGCCGCTTCCCACTCCTGGAGAAACTGGAGCAGCTCAGCAGCTCCTCATCTTGGGCACACTGGGCCATGGCTGTGGCCATCCGCGTAGGCCCTGAGTGCGCTGACCACACAGTCCTGCAAAACAGCTGCCAACCTGCAAAAAGGGCCTAGGGTGAGGAGGGGGTGCTGGGAGTGAGGGGAGCTCCACCACGGACTCTAGAAAAATCTTTAGTTCATTTGAGAGGAGGGCTTAAAGAACATACTCAACTGTCTCTATAAAAACATGCTATGAAAATATTGCAAAGCCCTCTCAGAGCCCCATTCTCATTTAATCCTATTTAAGGTGGCAACATCCTCCTTACACAGACAAGGGAGAGGGGAGAGACTGTCAAGGTCACACACACCTCCCAAGCTCCGGCCTGGACTTACCCAGCCTGCCATCCTGCTTACCTGCCCCATGGGTGCTGGGGGGCAGGGCGGCCACCAGGTTGGGGGTCAGTACCCGCTGGTCCTCAGGGAACCAGGCCTCATTGATGACGTCTTTGGCAGAGAAGTGGATCAGTCTCTGCCTCAACTCGGCCAGGGTGAGCTCCGGCTCGGCAGACAGCATCATAGCTGCAATGCCTGGTGAAGGGGTGAACGGTGAAAGATGAAGGCAGACTGTCTACCTGCCCCAGCAGGGGACTCCTGCCCATGTGTGCACACATACACATACACACAAACACACGTGCACACACACAGACACAAGCTGTCTTCCCAAAGGTAAGCCGCCTACAGTCCCTTACTCAGTAAGGTAAGACAGCCTCCTCTCACACCTCTAAGCCTTAGTAGTTGCTGTCTTAGTGGGCAGGTGAACTCCTATTCATCCATCAAGCTCCAGATCAAATGTCCCTCCTCCAAGAAGCCTTCTCTGACCCTCGGGCTGGGCAGGTGCCTCCTCTGGGCTCCCTCTAATACAGGCCTGACCTCGTGTTCCCTTGGTGCACTTGCCTCCCTCATCAGACTGAGGCACGATGAGGCCTGCCTCATCTCTGGTCCCCCTGCACAGAGCCTGGTACAGGAGGTCCTGGCACAGACCCTGACTGCCAAAGGGGCTGTTAGCATCACAGTGGCTGAGGCAGTGGTGGGGTGACTCACCAGCCACATGGGCAGCGGCCTGTGATGTCCCACTCCGAGACACAAAGCAGGTGCTACAGTCGCTGGAGGCACCAATGATGTCCTCCCCTGGGGCAAAGAGGTCCACACAGCGGCCAAAGTTGGTCCCCAAAGTCCCCAGGGTCACTGGCTGGTCCTGGGCATTGGTGGCCCCAACTGTGATGACCTGGAAAGGTGAGGATGTGGGTGGCAGAGACAGGAGCCCAAGAGAGGGGTTGCAGGGGCAGACTGAGGCCTTGCCAGCTGGGCTGGCCACCTGCTGTACAGCTGTTTAGGTCCCATTCAAATGTCCCCTCCTAAAGAAAATCTGACTCCCCAGGCAGAATTCTGGCACCCCTGCCCACCCTGTCCCTACCATAGCCAGGCACCATTTCCAATGCCCCTGTGGAGTTTACATTCTACTGGGGGAGAGACAGTAAACAAACAGGAAGCTATTCGGTTTATCAGGTGGTCCTAAGTGCCACTGGGGGTGGAATTAAGAGAGCAAGGCAGAGAAGATGTCATGGGCTTTGTTTGCTTGATGCCTTTAAATTCGGCCGCCAGGGAAGCCTCTCACAGGCCAGGGAGGGCCTAGGCTGCACTGTCAGGTAAGCATCTCCTCCGCAATCCCCGCCCCCAAAGCACACGCGCACACAAACGTGCACATACATGAGTGCGCACACACAGATCTGAAATTCCCGACTTGAAGTGGCACAAGATTCCTTCCCCTCGATGTCCTGACAACCGGACACACAGTAGGTGCCCGGGGAGTGGTGGTCAGAAGAGGAACGGTCACTGCCCCCCAGCTCCTCAGGGCAGAGGCTCTGTGTCTGTGTCCCCGCAGCCGCACTGCACTGGGCATGCGGCACACGCTCTGGATGTTCCTCGGGTGAGAGGTCTGAGCCCTCAACTGCTCCCATTCTCATTAGCCTTGCTCAAGTGGTGAATCATGGAGCCACGGAGAGAGCTGGACAATGGAGAGGCCCTAAAAGTAGTGGGCAGAGGACGCAAGGCCTGGAGATGGGGATGGGGAAGGGGCGGGTACCAGGAGACCTTCAGGACAGAGAGCGCTCAGGAGGGGCGTGGGGGCGTAGCTACGTGGGCGTGGGCGCCGTTACGTGGGGGCGTGGCTACGTGGGCGCCGCTTCGTGGGAGCGTGGCTGGGCCGCTGCTGTTCAGATTCTGGCATGATGGAGAGTCCAGCCCCTTTCTCCTCAACCTCCCGCATGGCGGGGTCACTGACGACTCCTTCCACCCCCGGCCTTGGGACAGCAGCCTCAGCACCTACCTCCGGAGCCGAGGCTGGGGAGTAGAGGCAGGCATCATCCCGGAAGTTGCCAGCAGCGGCGACCAGCACAACCCCAGCCCTCGCCAGGCGCTGGCAGGCGGCGTTGAGGACCCGGCTGTACCCACCCGCCAGGGGCAGCAGCACCACCAGCGGCCCCACGGGCTGGACCAACTGGCTTTTCCAAATAAACTCCAGGCCTGGGAGGACAAAGCCAAGGTCACCCCCTGGGCAGACCTGCTCCCCTTCCCCAGCCCCTCCCTTACAGGCACAGAGTGATAGTTAATTTTGTGGATCAACTTGGCCTGATACTTGGTCAAAAGTCAGTAGAAATGCTGCAGCAAAAATATTTTTTAGATGTGACTAACATTTAAATCAGAAGACTGAGTAAGGCAAGTTACTCTCCATAACGTGGGTGGGCCTCATCTAATCAACTGAAGGCCTTAAGGGAACGGACTGAAGTCTCCCAGAGAAGACGGAATTCTGCCCAGGACTACCTTAGGGCTCAATAGGGCAACATCAAATTCTGCAGGAATTGCCAGCCTGCCTGGCCTGCCCTGCGGATTTCAGACTTGCCAGCCGTCACGGTCACATGAGCCAATTCCTTGAAACTCTTAATATATACATCCCACCTGTTCTGTTTCTCTGCAGAACCCTGGTCAATACAAACTGGAAGATATTAGCCATTACACCAGCAATCAAACTAACCAACCCCGGGCCCTTCTGTGTGCCTGGCTCCGTTCTAAGTGTCTAAATATATGAATTTATGGGATCCTCACAATAACCTTATTATCCCTTTCCAGCAAACAGGATGAACCTCAGAGGAATGAGGAGTGAGCTGGGCCCTGCCCAACTTCCCCCTGCGAGTCTCTGAGACCGGGCTCAGATGCCCCTCCACCGTGGCCGCAAGTGTTGGATCCACACAAACTCAAACAGAGTCTTGCTTGGCCACTCCTGAGCTGTGTGGCCCCACCCTCTGTGAAACAGTGACAGCTGCTCCCAGGATTGTCTGAAGAATTAAAAGCCTCCATGCCCAGGGCCCCCATACCATAACTCCCTACCCTTGAGGGTGTGGTTCTCTGGTCTCGGTGGCACTCTACTGCCCCATTTTGGTGCAGACCATGGTCTACCTTATGCTACTGTCACCAATGACAGTTCTAACCCTTTGCCAGCCTGTGAGCTCTGGCCCAGTGGCCTGGAGACTGGGGGCCTAAATCAGCTCTGGCCCTGATGTGCAAGGGGACCTGGAGCTGACAGGTTCTCCCCCGTCAAATGGGGTGTGGGAGCCTTCTGCATCCTGGCCTCTGAGACGTCTCCAGGAGCTGTGGCCAAGGTGGGAGTTGGAATCCCACAGCCATGCTCCTCCTAGGAGACAGCTAGTGAGGCCCATCACACCACAGAGGGAGGGAGTGGAGTGGCACTCAGTGTGGAGATGAAGAACAGTAGCCACATTTACAGCTACCAGTTATTTATGTATTTATGAGACGGAGTCTCAATCTGTTGCCCTGGCTGGATTGCAGTGGCATGATCTCGGCTCACTGCATCCCCCACCTTCAAGCAATTCTCCTGCCTCAGCCTCTCAAGTAACTGGGATTACAGGGGCCCACCACCCTGCCCAGCCAATTTTTGTACTTTTAGTAGAGACGAGGTTTCATTATGTTGGCCAGGCTGGTCCCGAACTCCTGACCTCAGGTAATCTGCCCACCGCGGCCTCCCAAAGTGCTGGGATTACAGGCATGAGCCACCACGCCCGGCCTGCAGCTGCTAGTTATTAAGCACCTACTGTGTGCTTATCTCTTTGCTCGGACTCAACACACAATAACCTGCTTACAGAGGAGAAATGGCAGTGGCAATGAATGCAATAGTGACTGCTGGGTCCCTGTCCCCTGTCAGGTAAAGCAACAGGGGCTTCCCCTGCACTGACTGGGACCCCAAAGAAGGGACTTCTCCAGGAAGTCCTCCAGCGGCCAGAGCACCAGGCCTAGGGAAGCCTTTCTGTGAAAGAGCGGCCTCCCCTCCACACACTGACCTTCAGGAACTGGCCTGCCTGAGCCGAGGTCAGTCAATAAAGGGGTGGGACAGGTACAAGGGGTCACCTGATGGGACAGAAGCTTATTGATTCTTACCTTTAAAACTGAATGTCAAAACCTGTACTCTGTAGGAAAGTCTCAGGACAGAACTGGTGAGGCACAAGGCAGACTCCTGGGCTTTCTCGGCCTTTCAAACAGTCCCGTGGGCTGCCTCTGCCAGCTCCAGTGTTTGACCCTGGGGCCTGGGGCTTGCAGTGGAAGTCAGGCTGCTGCCTAGAGCCAGCACCTTGCCCAGTGAGGTCACGAGCTTGAGCTGTGTGACCCCGGGCCGTCCCCTCCCCTCTCTGGACTGGTTTTATCAACTGTTTAGCAGTTATGGCAAGGCCAGCCCCAGGGCATGGTGTACAAAGGCCTTTGCTCAATGTCTGGCCACAGCAGGAAGTCAGGAGGGGACAGCACCCTCCCTCTTCTCTGTCCACAGGCCCCTGGAGTCCTAGCTCTCAGCTGGACTTCACACAGGGCCTGCCGGGTGGACAAAATGTAGTCACCTGCAAAAGTCTAGAAAAAGTCCTCTGCCAGTTCCTCCACACGTCCGCCTGGCCAGGGTGACCTGCAGGGCCCAGTCATGCAAGTGAGTGAGTCCCCTGGTCTCAGAGGTATGTAAGCAGAAGATAGAAAAAGTTTGCTTAGATCACCTCAAGGGTTTCTACGTGGACGATAACATCACAAAAGACATAAAGACGTCACCAGATTTGAAAAGTGGAGCAGTGTGGAATTGTGGAAAGGTCACTGACCCAGGGTCAAGACTGAACTCCCTGGCTACCTGCATGACCCTCTCAGGGCCTGGGTTTCTTCATCTACACTTGTGGCCTCCGGGGACCCTGCCAGCCCTGACACTCTGGCTCTGCAGCAGAGGCTGCCACAGCATTCTTGGTTAGGAGACATTAGCTCTCCCTGGGCCCAGCCCAAGCCACCTCCCAGGCCAGGTCCACGATGGAGAGAGACCAGCACTGTCTGGCGCCATCACTCACCTATGAGGGTGCTGCTGACCGTGCCCTTCCCTTGGCAGTTGAGCACGCGTAGGCTGCGTAGGCTGGCGCCCTTGGCCACACCAGCGTCCCTGCCGCTGACCACCCCTGCCAGGTGGGTGCCGTGGCTGTCACACTTGCTGGCCTGCTCAACCAACATGAGGAAGACCCCCCGCCATCCCATAACAGATCAGCAGGTGGCTGGATGGACACCCTTCCCACAACTGATGTCAGGGAGGGGACAGTGACAGCTGAGGAGGGGGGCAGCCCAGCAGTACAGCTGCAACACTCTTGGGGAGCAGTCCCCACCCACCTCCAGGATGGGGATGAGGGCAGAGGTAGCCCTCATGTTGAAGGGCTGTGCTTACCTGTCTGTGGAAGCGGGTCCCGTCCTCCTCGGGCACACTCCCAAAGTCAGTGACCATGACCCTGCCCTCAATTTCCCGGTGGCCGCTCTGTATGCTGGTGTCTAGGAGATACACCTCTACCAGGCTGCCTCCATCTTTCCAAGGTGACATTTAAGGGAGAAGAGGGAATGAGCGTGAAGTCAACCTTATAGTAATGCACAGTAAATATATTCACTCATTTAACCTCCAAAAAAATCCTCACACGCTACAACCTATTCTGTATTTCATAGACAAGGAAAAGGAGGCCTAGAGAGGGCAGGTAACTGTCCAAGGCCGCCAGCTGGCAATGACACTGCCAGGAAGGACCCAAGTCATCCTGCTCCTTCACATTAATGTCAATATGCAGCAATAATATGAAGGTTCAGAAAATAATATTATAGTGTCAAGTAAACCAAGCCCCTATTGTAGCCTTTCACAACTCACTGAGCCTGAGAGAAAGACAAATTTAAAGACTAAAAGGAGAATAACAGTGATGTCTGGGCCCCTGAATTGGCCGGCTCATTTCAGAGAGAGGAAGCTGCGCTCAGACAGGATGTGTGAGAGCTGGCCTCCTGGATCCGGGTCCAAGTGCTCTCCACTCCACAAGGCACTGGGAGGGCTCCCAGGGGCTGCTTCCGCCTCGCAAGAGTCACAGCCTCAGAGAAAACAGTCACTGAGAGCCTATCCTACACTTCCTCACCCCTAATTGGATCCATTTGGATTCTCCAAGAAGCAGACACTGGGGTAAAAGCTGCAAGAGACCCACGGGGGGAGTCGCCTGCGCAGGACAAAGGTTGGGAGGACGTAGCGAGAGCTCACAGATGCAAGGCAGGTCCAGCCCGCTGGACCGAGAGGGGAGGCAGGAGGAAGGGAAGCAAGGAAGGAAGCCCCTCCACTTCAGCGCAGTTCTCAGAAACTCTCAACCAGGCCAAAGGAAGACTTGAGGCAGGTTGCTGGCACAGAGTCCTGCACCAGCGGAAATGGCCTGGTGCTGGAACCCCTGCCGCCAGGAGAAGCAGGGCCTTGGGTGGAACCAGAGGGCAACCCTGTGGGCTGTCAGTCAACCTGGTCCTGCCCCAGGGTCCTCCTGAGTCTTCTGAAGTGCCATCTGAACAGCACCTCCGTGGCCCCCGCAGTGATCCTCCAAATATGCTGCAGAGTAGAGATTCTCATCTCCGGACAGGCGAGCAAGTGCAGGAGGCCCAGGGCGTGTGCAGGCTGGGAACTGACTTCTCATGGCTTCGGTAACAAATTCCCAAACTCAGCTGCAAAGGCTCCAGGGGAGAACCCTGCGTCACCTCTTCCTGCTTCTGGTGGCTGCTGGTGTTCCCTGGCTTGTGGCCACATTTCTCCAGTCTCCACTTCTGTCTCCATGTGGCCTCACCTGTGTGTCTCAAATCTCCCTCCACCTTTCTCTCATAAAGACACATCATTGGGCTTACAGCCCACTGGAGAATCCAGATGATGCCATCTTGAGATGCTCAATTACATCTACAAAGACCTTTTCTCCAAATAAGGCCAGGCTCACAGGCTCTGTCTGGGTGCGTGGGTCTGTGGGGGCTGCTATTTGGCCCACTACGGAGCAATTCAGTGGCTGCTCTGAGATCCCACACTAACTTCAGGCAAGGTCAGCCCCGAGTCTTGCGTCCTCCCATCCACCCACTATGCCATTAGGGCTGGGCAAGGCAGTCACTTCCCAGCCTGCACACACACTGTCCACCCTGCCCTACAGCCTCCATTCTCGGCAGGAAGCTCCACTGGTCAGTGCCTGTGAGCACTTTGGTGACTTCTATGGCATGCTGAGCAGGTCCTCAGCAGTCTACCTCTCCTCTTAAGCCACGGGATAAGGCAGAGTCCCTGCTCTCTGAGTGTGTTAGGAGTTTTTACTAATCTGTGGGCATCTACCAGTGCCTGGTACTATGCTGGGAAGGGGTGGCTGAGAGTGCTGTGAGCTCCCGCCCAAAGACATCGGAGACCAAAGGGTGCTGGTCCCCCTAGAGGAACCACTAGATATTGAGCTGGGCTGTGGAATGTTGAAGGGGCAGACATGACAAGGAGGGCAGAGGCCCATAAGCTATGGCCAGTGTGCTCCTGCCAGAGGCCCCGTGCTGGCTGCAGGGGACACAGGTGCTCAGGAAGCAGCCCAAGGTTCTCCCTCAGAGCTTCCAGGCTGACGGGACAACTGGATACATTGGCAGACAGCCTGCAGGACACAGGCTCACCTAGAAGACAGCCCCGAGGCTGCTTCCCTCCCTGAACAGAAGCCACAGAATGCACATGGAGCAGAAGGCCGTCTGGGCAGGCTGCCAGTCCATGCTCCTCGTCATGGGTGAGGAGTAGGCTGAGGCTGCAGCTGCGTCAGCCCAGGTGAGAGTCCTTTCTGGGCCCACCTGTGCTCGGGACTGCCCTCTGCTCCAGGAGCTGTACCTGGGGTCCGCTGCAAGATGATGTGACCATGGCGAAGTCATATCCCTGGGCCTGGGGTGTGGCCCCAGCAGCAGGTAGAAGCTCAGGGAGGCAGCCCCACCCTTCTAAATGCAGGCGGTTCCTGCCCTCCCACACCAGCCCGCTGTCCTGCTGGGACAGGGTCAGGAGGCTGCAAGCATGGCCGGCAGAGGGCAGGTGGGCCTGGCGAAGGGGCAGCTCTTGGTAAGACACTGCCAGGAGAGAGGCTGTAAGCCTGGAACGCCCACCCATGGCCCATGGCCCCACCATGGCCTCCACATCTGGAACAAAAGCGAAAGCCAAGACCCCTGCAGGAACCTCCTTGGGCTTCCTTCCAGTGAGAGGCTGGAAAGGGGCCCAGCTCGGATGGGACACAGGGCCCCCGGGCCGTTTCCTAGGTCCCCCTCCATCCTCCAATCACCTCCCGCCGTGGGAGGCAGGGGCTGCTACTGTTCCCTGTGACAGCATGGCAAGGTGGCCTCAAGAAGAGCCATCATTCTCAGGGGCAAAGAGGCCTTGGAGTGGCCTCTTCCAGCCTCTGGCTTGCTACAGAAAGCTCTGTGGCCTCTGGCAGGTGGGAGCCTAGTCCTGCTTCCATACCTCCAGAGCAGGGAGCTCATCCCCTCTCACCCGGCAGCCCTGCCATGCCTAAGAAGCTCAGACTGTGGCCGAGTTCTTCCTTTCACATCTGCCCTGGAGGCCACCCAGGCCCTGCTGGTCTCACCTGCCTCAGTTCCTTCTGCACAGCTCCTGTCCTTGTTCATTCTTCTGCTGGGACACTGTCCCCTTTGCCTGGTTAATAATGCCCCCGCAGGTCTTGGCTGGAATAGCACTTCCTCCAGGAAGCCTTCCTGATCCCTCTGCCAGTTACACATGCCCGCAGCTGCCGGCACTCCTTCAGAGCTCTCAGCCCAACCAGAACTAATTTGTGCCAAGTAGTATTTGTTTAAGGAATGGACTGATCTGGATACACTGCTGGGGACAGAGACCACATCCCCCACATTCACCTTTGTATCCCCAGCACCTAGTATGGTGCCTAGCGCACAGTGGGTGCTCAAGACATTATTGTTGAATGGTAAGAAAAAAGAAAGCAGGGCTAAAATCACAGCACCTCACTCAATACCTGATTGTGTGCTACAGCAATAACTCATTTAACCCTCTAAACAGCCCCCAGGTGAGGGTTATCATTACCTCCCTTTTGCAGAGGAACCTGAGGCTCAGAGAGGGTGAGTGACATATGCAAGGTCACACAGTTAAGAGTGCAGGGTCTGGGTCTGAGGGCAGCTGCCAGCTCCAGCGCCCATGCTCGTGGCCTCCCTGTGCGTGAAGAGGCTGCTGCTCCACCCAGCCAGCCTGCCCCACGCCAGCCCAGCAGCTCCGGGAGGACTTCTTCTAGTCAAAACCTTGATGTGACTCCAGAAGGGGTTCCACACCCCTGCTGCCATTCCTGCCACTTCCCACAGCCACTCGGGGGAAGTGGGGAGGGGGTAATCCATGGGCATCCTAGGGGGAGGAAAGGACCCCGTATCTGCTTCTGGCCCAAGGGAGAGGAAGGAACGATGGCTGCCAAAGAGATATGCTCACATCTGAACCCCTACAACCTGTGGCTGTGACCTGATTTGGAAAAAGGGTCCTTGCAGCTGTGGTTAAGTTTCTCCACATGAGATCAGCCTGCATCATCCAATGGACCCGAAATCCAACAAGTGTCCTTAAGAGACCGTGAAGAGGAGAGAGGCCCGGAGAAGGCTGTGTGAAGACATGCTGAGATGGGAGTGCTGCCGTCATTGGAAGATGGAAGAGACAAGAGAAGCTGCTCCCCTGGAGCCCCCAGGGAGAATGTGGGCCCACCGCAGTTGATGCAGGCTTTTGTCCCCCAGGACTGCAGAGAATCGTCTTGTTCCAGCTGAGGGTGTGGTACTTTGTCACAGCAGTGCTAGGAAGCTAACCTGGGGGGCAAGATCTTCTTGCTCTTCTGCTGGGACCAGGGTCTCCGTGACCCTCTGCCAGTGTCCCTCTCAGTCTCTGATATTAGCCTGCTCCGGGAGGTCCCTGGGGCACCGATGTGAAGTGCAGGGGCTCCAGGACTCCACTGAAGAGGTCTGGCCTGGTTGGAAAGGAACAGACTCTTGCTACACAGGAGCCTGTCCTCTCCTTAGCCACAGGCAGCCCAGGCCAGGTCAGCACACACAACCAGCCAGGCCCCTCACCTCCGCTGCTGACACCCTTGCCAGAAGATGTCCCCCACACACACCCTATCTCCACACCCTGCCCACCAGCTCTGATCGTCACCATGGCAGCAACTCAGAAGCCCCCAACTTGTCAATTCCAAAAGCATTTGCACATCCTTCACCTCATTGGAGTCTCACAATAACCTGTGAGGACAGGGACAGGGTTATATGCCCATTTTACAGATGAGGAAGGTGAGGCTCATAGAAGCAAGTGGCTTCCCAAGACCCCACAAGAACCAGTAAGGGGTGGAAGCTGAGTTCACCCCAAGCTCTGCGTCCTGGCCCCATGTTGCATGGACTGACCACATTGCATCGTCTCTGCACTGAGCTCCAGACCGCACACCATGGCACCTCAAACTTAACACAGTCCGGTGAGAACCCTTCATCCTTTCCTCAGACCAGGTGCATCTAGAGTCTTCCCCAACTAAATAATTGCCACCTGTAAGGCCCTGCTAGAATGCAGACCATTTTCCTTGGCCTCTCCTCCTCTCTCCCCGCCATAGCCAGGCTACACCAGGCAGAGGGAAGAGTGGAAGGGAAGGTCTAGAGGGAAGACACAAAGTGGCCCGTGCAGGGAGCCCCACAAAGCCTAATGGAGCTGGAGGCAGGTGGAGCAGCACAGTAGGAAGCTAGGCAGGGCCCCCAGACTGGGCTGTGTCTATCCCTTTAGGGTCTGGTCCAGTCTGCAGGGCACTGGGAGTTCTGGAGACCTGGGGGCTCTAGGTAGAGTCAGCATCAGATTAACCCTCTTCCCAAGGTGAGTGGAGCCTGCTGGGCCATTCCGAATGGAGAGAAGAGGAAAACAAGAGGGAGGGAGGAAGAGAGGATCATTTAAGGAAAGACTTTTGCGTTTGTGGAGCAGAAGGAAGGCAGGCAGTGTGGGCTGCAGAGGTTGGGGATGGGACAGGAAAAAAGGGGTCAGTGGAGGTGCTGAGTCCCAGAGCCCCTGAGAGGTGGAAACCACCGGCAGGGAGGCGAGGCCAGAGCAGAGCAAACAAATTCAGCTTAGATGGGGAGGGAAGACACAGAGGGGGTCTTACTGGGAGGCTGGTATTCATCCGCCCGGTACCGCGCAGGGGTAATCCGCTCCAGGTTCCATGGGATGCTCTGGGCAAAGACAGAGGAGTCCTCCTCGATGTAGTAGACATGGGGCAACCTCAGGGCCTGCAGAAGCCAGAGAGTCCGGGGGCCTCTGCTTAAGCCATTGGGACAGCAGCAAACACAGCCACAGCCCAGCCTCACCTGATTAAACCTGTCCCCACATCTCAGCCCAGCAGCCTCCCACCTTGTCCCGGCAGACCTCAGACCTTGTCCCTGACTCCCTCCTGGTGACCTGGAGGACAGACTGGAAGCTGGAGTTTTCTCACTCCTTGCTCAGGCTGGGAACCCAGCACTCCCATATCTCTGCAATGCAGCCTGGCACAGAGGATTCCTTTTAGAGGATTCTGAACTTGACATCTCGTCTGGGAGCCAGGGTGTGCCAAGGCTCTGGGCAGGATGGACATGGAGCGAAGCTCAGGCCCTGGACTCCATGCCTCAATCATGACATAACAGCACTGGCAATTCTGTCTGTCCTCCAGTCTATTCCCATCCTTCTCCTGCCTGCTCAGTGCAAACTGCAGCACCAGCTCCCTTGCACAGCTTCCAGTTGGGCTCAGCCAATGGGAGGCACCAGCAGGAGTTGAAGGGACAAGAGTGCATCTGTGTCAGGGAGTAATGACTCACACCTATAATCCCAGAACTTTGGGAAACCAAGGCAGGCAGATCACCTGAGGTCAAGAGTTTGAGACCAGTCTGACCAACATGGTGAAACCCCATCTCTACTAAAAATACAAAAATTAGTCTGTCATGGTGGTGCATGCCTGTAATCCCAGCTACACAGGAGGCTGAGGCATGAGATTCACTTGAACCTGGGAGGCAGAGGTTGCAGTGAGCTGATATTGTGCCATTGCACTCCAGCCTGGGTGACAGAGACTGTCTCAAAAAAAAGAAAAAAGTGTGCATCTGCCCCTCTCCCTCCCTGCCGCCCGACTCCCTGTACTTGGCAGTGCTGAACCCTCAGGTGACTCCCCATGGGCAGCCTCTCCATGCCACCAGCTCCAGCTGGGCAGAGGGAAAACTATTCCCGCTCCTTACCCTTCAGACCTAGGTGGTAACAGCTTCCTGCCATAACTGGTCCCTGGATGCCTTGCTATCCCCAGAGGCTTCTTAACCTGCCCACACTTCAGTGAGTACCTAGCATCTACTGAATGCTTCACGATCTCATTTAGTCCTTAAAAGAATGTTCCCATTATTATGCCTGATTTACAGATAGGGGAATGAGGCTCAGAGAGGTGAAGGCATTTGCCCAGGGTTAGACAAACCAATAAGGGGCTGGGTGGGACTCGAACCAGGCTGGTATGATGCCCAGCTTGAAGCCCGGCTCTCGATGGCAAATGTCTGCAGCCTTCTGCTCAGGCTCCTCTCCTCTGAGCAGCTGCCCTGGCCTGTGTGGCTTATGCCTGTCATCTGGTGCTATGCGGGCACCTTCTTCGCCCCTCCCCAGTGCTGAGTACATTGTCCCATAGCCAGCAGTACTGGCAGCCACTGGTCAGTCTCTCCTTCTGAACTGTAAGCTCAAGGGAAAGGCCTGGGCTGTGTCACATTCGCCTCTGCAGCACACAGCAGGTGCTTGGGAAATATGTGTCGAGTAAACTGTTGGAAGGCATTGACTTGTCAGCCTCCTCTGCTTGGGCTCCAGGTTCCCAAGGCAGGGACCCTGTCAATCCCTGTCATGGCCCCACAGGCCTTGGTATGCGGTAGATGTTCAGCCACTGGATGCTGAGTTGATTACCCATGGGGCAGCAGCGCATTGCAGCTAGGAAACCCAGGTCCAGACTCTGACCTGCCCATCATGCTGTGTGACCTTGGACAAGAGCCTGGGCCCCACTGTCTACAGGAGGCTGAGAAGCACCCACCGCCGCCATGTGGAGAATCAGTGTGAAAATGACACATGTTCTCATCGAGAGGCCAGGGAAAGGGGTGGGCTAGAAGGTGGGGCAGAAACAAAACCAAGAAAGCTTTTTTTAAGATTTGAAGCACTAGGGCCAGGGTGAGAATACCCAGTCCCCTTTCTGCCCTTCCACCAAAGATGTGACATCCAGGAGGGAGGAGAGCCACCCTGTCCTAGAGAAGGAACTTTACGCTGGATAGGAGCAACTTCAATGAAATTTTGGACCCTTGAGTCACGCTTTTTTATCAAATGACTCAGGCTCCATTGAACATCCCAGGGCCTGTCCCTATGGGTTCCCATGGGCAGCAGATGCATTGGCACAAAAATGGCTGGCAGGCAGACCACTAGGTTTGATCCAGGCTCTACCCCTAGCCATCTGTGTGGTCCCTTCTGAACTTTGGTCTCCTCATCTTTCAAATGAAGATGGACATAACACTGGGGCACGGCCAGGCTTAAAGGGCATTCTATACAGATAGCCAGTAGTTGCTGTGCTTGGTACCCAGTAAGTGCTCAATGCATACTTGCTGTCCCCTTCTGATTTTCAGCAATGGGCCTACTAAGCACAGTCCCCAGCATATATGCAGTGGACCAACCCTATCGGGAAGTGCCATTCCCAAAAAGGGTGGCTCACCAGCTCCAGCAGGTCGCGGCTCATCTTCACCAGGAAGCCAGGAAGAAGGTCGTGGAAGACATGCAGGAGCTTGATGAGGTATCCCCGGCGGGCAGCTTGGGCCTGCAGGCGGCGGGCGGTGCGCTCTGTCTGCAAGCGGTGGGTCTCTTCCTTCAGCACCACCACATAGGTGCCGGGCAGCCTCCAGGGGTCCTGACCCCATGCAAGGAGGAACACGATGATATGGAAGAAACCTAGCAAACCCTACATGGACTTTACCTCACCCCTCCTTACAAGTTAGAATGACAGCGAAAGAGACACCACAGAGTATAGGAAATGATGAAGTTACCAAATGCAGACCAAAAAGCAGATTTAAAAACTCATCTAGGCCAACTATTATTATTCACATAGTTATAGAACACTTCCAAATGTGGCAGTCAGGCAAAAATGGGAACCATGAGCCACACTGGAAACCAGGTTCTCCTCTGTACCTGCACCCAGCTCTCTATGGGCCTGGCCACCCCTGGAGGCCCTGCCCAAAGGCCACCCCCTCCCCCATGCCCCAATCGGAATAAATTGAGGGAGAAACTCATGGGCTTGGAAGCCAGGAAACTGTGGACCTGCATTCCAGCTCCAATATTTACTGGCTGTGCGGCCATGAGTAAGTCACTCAACCTCTCTGAGCCTCACATAGCTCCGCGGTATTGTAGAGACTGTAGTACCTATGACATAGGCCTGCTGGGAAGGTCAGGAGTGACGGTAGTATAAATCTCCCAGCTGAATGCTCTAGAAATGCAGGCAGAAGGGATGACTAAGTGAGCAAAGGCAACACTTCTTTTTTTTTTGAGACGATGTTTCCCTCTTGTCGCCCAGGCTGGAGTGCAATGGCACAATCTTGGCTTATCACAACCTCTACCTCCCAGGTTCAAGCGATTCTCCTGTCTTAGCCTCCTGAGCAGCTGGGATTACAGGAGTGCGCCACCATGCCCAGCTAATTTTGTATTTTTGGTAGAAACAGGGTTTCTCCACGTTGGTCAGGCTGGTCTTGAACTCCCCACCTCAGGTGATCCGCTCGCCTCAGCCTCCCAAAGTGCAGGGATTACAGGTATGAGCCACTGCATCTGGCGGCAACACTTCTTAAAGAGAGAGTAGTCAGGGCCACTGTCTTAGTTCTCTCGTGTTGCTTTATAAAGGAATACCCGAAGGTGGGTAATTTATGAGGAAAAGGGATTTATCCAGCTCCTGGTTCTTCCATCTCCAGGAAGCATGGCACCAGCATCTGCTTCTGGTGCAGCCTCAAGCTGCTTCCACTGATGGCAGAAGGTGAAGGGGAACGTGCACGTGTGGAGATCAATCGTATGGCAAGAGAAGAAGCAAGAGAGAAGGGGGGGAGGTGCCAAGCTCTTTTTAATAATCAACCTTCAAGGGAAATAAGAGGGAGAACTTACTCGTTATCACAAGGATGGCACCAAGCCTTTCATGGGAGTTCCTCCCCCACGACCCAGACATCTCCCATTAGGCCCCACTTCCAACACTGGGGAGCAGATTTCCACATAAGATTTGGAGGGGACAAAAAAACTGTAGCAGCCACTGTCTGCAGATGACTTGTTTGGTTTTAGCCCTTGTCTGCTCCAACTGCTTTCAAGCAGACACACCTGCTCAAGAACAGGAAGAAAGAACTGGCTCCCCACCGCCTGATGGATCGAATCCAAACTCCATGCTCCTCCTGGGCCGCTACCTCAGCCCACCTTTGCAGCCTCATCACCCACATCTCTGTATATATGCATCTTGGATGCCAGTCAGAGTAGAACAGAGTCCACCCCCTTTACCCAAAGCCTTAGGGCCAAATCAGCTTTGAACCTCAGACTTGTTTGGATTTTAGAAAGGCAGTAATGGGCAATCAGAGAGTCTGCTTGGAGGAATCTGGAGCTGCATACTGTAATCTATGCAGCAAAATATATGAATATGCATATGCACACAAATGGATTAAAAATAACCTCATGTCAGTTCATGTCAGGTGCTACCATCAAATAAATCACAAAAAAACCTTTTGGTTTTCAGAACATTTTACATTTCAGAAGACGGATAAAGAACTGGGGAGGCTGGGTGCGGTGGCTCACACCTATAATCCCAGCACTTTGGGAGGCTGAGGTGGGCAGATCACCTAAGGTCAGGAGTTTGAGACTGGCCTGCCCAACATGCTGAAACCCCATCTCTACTAAAAATACAAAAATTAGCCAGGCGTGGTGGCAGGTACCTGTAATGCCAGCTTTTTGGGAGGCTGAGTCAGAAGAATCACTTGAACCCAGGGGGCAGAGGTTGCAATAAGCTGAGACCATGCCATTGCACTCCAACCTGGGCAACAAGAGGGAAACTCCGTCTCAAAAAAAAAAAAAAAGAAAAAGAAAAAGAACTGTGGCGCGTGCTCCTTATCCTCCACCTCTGGTTTTCCCAGCTCTGTACCTTTGTTCCTGGTACCTCCTACTCTTAGAATAAAATTCTCCTGAGACTGTCATTGCTAAACTCCTACCAATGCTTCAAAGACCCTTCTAAAATGCCTTTTGCTAAATAAAAATTGAATGAATTGGGAGACTACACTGTGCAGTGGAATGTGAGTTCTGAAAACCCAGTTCTAATGCACTCGGGATGCACCTCCTTTCCCTGGGCCTTAATTTCTCATGACTAAAGGAAAAGGATTGGTCTAAAAATCCTTTTCTGCTTGCCAAAAAACATTTTCATTCTAAATTTGAGTCCCACAAAATATCCATTGAATGAATGAATAAATAAACTTGAGGAGGTGTGTGTTCCAAATTTCCACCAGAGAAGAAACATGCCCAGGGGCTTGGTTCAGGTGGTCATGCAGCCTCTGCCTACTCACCTCTCAGGATGGGGTACTTGCTACTTCCAGAACAGGCTTTTTGGAGCAGTGGTAATTTGACATGTCCTTTCTTATCCTGACCACAACCCCACAACCCCCCTCTAGAAGGTCAAAGGCTCAGGGAACAAGGAAGAGAGTTATACTGAGCTGAGTAAGGGCACACCATCCTGCCACTCAGCACACTCAGACAGGAGCGTGGGCGGCAGCTGTGAATGGCAGAATTTGCCCCTCTGCCCCAGGAGCTGAGATTTGGAGATGATGTCACCAACAGGTCACACCGCAGACAGGGACAAAACTGCAAGTAATCCCTCCCTGGGCTTGCATCATGAGGTCACTCGGGGTCAACAGAACTTTCCCTCATCTCCCCACCTGCTGCCACTGAACCCTTAGGGAGGATTGTCACCTCCCTTTTAAAGATCAGGCAATGGAGCTCAAGGTTAGGTGACTTGTCAAGCACCACAGCTAGTGAGCTAGTGAGAGGAAGGCAGGATTCAGGCCCAGATCTGACTCTAAGCTGGGAGACACAGGACCTCAGCCAAGTCCTGGGCTGTTAACACTTGGAAAAAAACTAGCGGTCCGGCCCCAGGAAGAAGCTTCCCAGAGCTTGAGGGCCTGCTGCAGGCAGAGTTATTGAGCAAACTTGCCCCCGCCGTCGGCAGCCAGCCAGCCAGCGGGGGTGGGGCTCAGCTCCGGGGTCCCAGCACCAGGCGCGCGCGCCACCTCTGGCCCAGAGCACCAAGGGTCCTTCCCTGCCTGAGTTCTAAAGGACACCAATGGGCCTCGAGAATAACTCCGCCCCTTCTCCCCTGGCCCTTCAGCTGGTTCTTTTCTTCAGCTGAAACAGATGGACTCTTAGAGCATGAGTTCTGGGTCCATAAAGAAATTGCCTCGCGCTCCCAGCGTCTGTCGTCCCTCCCACCCCGCCCCTGTCTCGGCTACAGGCCCTTCACCCTCCACCGCCCATGTTTAACCAAACCAAATCAGAACCCACAATAATGGCAAGCCCGCTTCCTCTGCGCCCGGTGCCGTTCCCAGTGCGTTCCAGGCATTAACTCCTTCACCCACCTGTGCCGCTGCGGGGCGGAAAGTGAAATCTGGGCAGGAGATCCTGGCAGTGCTCTGCTAGCCCTCTCTCGGCCTCCCAGTTTCCCACCCCCGCGAACCTTCCCACTGATTAGCACAGCCGCACGCCCAAGCGCGTCCCCAAAGAGCCGACTGTCCTCTCTCTCCACCACGACCCGTCCTCCCCCGCAGCCTTGCCAGCAGTCCCAAAGATCGTGGCAAGCAAAGAGCCCTCGGAGACCTGCTCTCCACTCCCTCTCTTACATGGGGGGAAACTGAGGCCCGAGAGGAAACAGCACCTCACCTTCCCGGCTGCAGGTTCGCCCTGGCCTCCCACCTCTAAGCCCTCACCTTGGCGCAGCGGTGGAAGGTGGCGGTGGCTCCGTGCTGGAGCGCGTCGGCCAGGCCGTCCTCCTCGGAGCGCAAGGCTAGCACCAGCTCCTCGTAGTCACCGTCGTCGTCCTCCTGCGCACGGGCGCCTGAGGGGCCCAGGAGCAGCAGCAGCAGCAGCAGTGGCAGCGACCACCACAGCCGCCTGGAGCTGACGGTGCCCATCAGGGCCAAAGGAGAGGTTGCAGTCCTGGCAAGGAGACCTAGAAGCTGTGCGCGATCCACGCCCGCGGCGCCTTGTGCCTTGCGGCGGGGAGGACTGTGCAGAAGCTTGAGTTCAGGGGCAGGGCGTGCGAAGGGGCGCGCCACGTCCTGGCTGGGAGCTGTGCGCTGCAACGACGCGTCCCAGCCCAAGACAGTCTCACTGCCTGGCTCACTCCTCCAGGCTCAGACCCTGAACTGAGCGGCTACACCCACCTGCAACCCTGCGCGCCTCGACGCCACTGCAGAAATCTGGGGTGTGGGTGCTTGAAGCCTGGGGCGCGGAGATCACGCCACCAGAGCCCCATCGGACGATCCTATCTGATTAAACATTAACGGAACCCCCGGACTGGAGGATCAGGTTTCGGCCTCGCCCTCCCCAAACAGCGTCAGATCACGCGCAGAGGGAAGAAAAAAATTCCCAAATCCTAACTGGGTGGAAGGCGGCTGGCGCTCTGGAGGCACCTCCTCTCCCGCCTCTCACCCTGCGTGGGAGTTCTGCTGGGTCCACCTTTTCAGTGTTTCCTGGGTCCTTCTTGTCGCCTGCGGACCAATAAGCCTTCTGAATCAATCCTACTGTGGACTCCTCACTCCCTACTGAATTCTTTCCATCGGCCTTAACCTGCCTGGTAGCCTTCTAAACTTAGCCTGGATCCCCTCCGACCTCTGCCCTTTATGCATCCTGTACACTGACCTTACCAACTAGCTGTTCCTTGAAGATACTGCTTGCTTTCGATGTCCAGCCTACATGCATTTCAAGGGATTTATGTTGCAAAGATTCAGGTTTTAAGTTTGCAAAGACGCCATACAGGTACATTCAGAATTCCATGGCAGGCACAAGCTCAGTGTTTCAGAAGATTCAATTTGCAAATATTCCTTTTACACATTATGTTAAAGACGTCAACTGGACAGCCATCCAGTAAACACCTATTGTGTACCAGACAGGAGGATGAAAAGGGGAAAGAGAGCCCCTGGCCTCAGATTGTACATGTGGCATGACATGAGGCTTGCTCTTTCTGGAAGGGTTGTTAATACTGGGAAGAAACAAAGGAGACTTTATGATTCTCCCTTGCAGCTGCACAGCAGATTCTGAGTGAAATGACCTGCTCTGAATCTAGGTGCTGGAGTCCAAAGTTGGTACCCTTTCCACTTTGTTTGCAAAGACCACACTCCAGAGAGCCAGTGCACAAAGACTGTGCAGCCAAGGAGTTGGCAGTGACTTCATGAGGTAAGGTCAGAGCTATCCCCACTGAGCCCACCATCACAGCACAGAGTAGGAGCTCATGGTTTGTGGACAGCGGTGGCAGAAGTGGCTCTCCTTCCCGCTGCCTGTGACTGGAGTTGTATTTGCTGCTTGTGGCAGCTTGCTCATCAAGGGCCTTCTCCTGGAGCAAGAATAGATGGGAGTTAACTTTCCTGCTGCTCCCCTTTGGGACCTTGGCTTCTCACCTACCAAGGATTCTTACCTTGCACCCAGAGGATGTGAAGCCTGTGCACAGAGGGACACGGATGTCCCCAGGCCCAGGAAGGGGGCCGCTGTCCAGCATGTAATGGGTGTGTTCTGAGGGAGGTGGGGGAGGAAGGAAGCACCCTGGGCTCTGCGACAGATGGAACCAGAGGGGCAGTCACTTCTCATTCCACATCCTCCACTGCACTCTTTAAGGGGCAGCCCCAGCGGGGCCTCCTGCCACTTGGCAGGGCTTTCATCCCTCAGCCATTACCCCTCCCAGAAGTTACCCAAAGGAGTTCTTTCACCTCCTCCCACCTTCTCTTACGCCCTGGCCAGCAACTCACCCTTGAGAGGTACCAGCAATCAGGGTAAGTCAGATGCCTCTTCTGGGGCCTCCCCTCTCTCACAAGTGCTTTCTGGGTCTATACTCATCCTTTTCACCTCCTGCCTTCCTCCTTCAGGGCAGAGGGGACCATCCTCCTGTACTCAGCTGCCCCTCCTCTGCCCCAATCTGGCCTCCGCAGGGATCAGCTCCCTCCACCATCTCCTCTCCTATCTCCAAATCCCTCTTCCTGTGTCATTCTTTCCCTTCACCCCGCAAGCATCCTCAAGGCTTCCCCCTCAAAAATGCCACTTTTCCTGTCCCTCAAAATGCTCTTCTAGCCCTTGCCTTCCCCTCACAGCCTGAATGCATAGAAGAACTCACTATTACGCTCCCTAGCTACCTTCTCCAAACTCAGAAACTTGGGAGTCTGCAGCCACCATTGGTATGAGTGTACATTTCAACATTTTAAATGGGCATACTCTTTTTCACAAGGGAGGGGGTATTTTTGAGTGTGGATGTTCGAGTTTTTAAAATTTACATGAAAATGATTTTTAAAATTGGAATAGTTCCAAAGAATATACAGTGAAAAGTTCATTTTCCTCCCACTCCTAAACCCCCACTTTCCCAGGGGAAACCACTGTTAGCCGTGGTAGCGGGTTGAATGGTGTCCCCCAAAAAGGTCATTCCAAGGCTAACTCTTGGAACGTGTGAATGTGACCTTACTTGGAAACGAGATCTCTGCAGATGTAACTGACCTAAGGATCACGTGAGGAGATTATCCTGGGTTTAGGGTAGGCCCTAAATCCAATGACCGATATCAGAAAAGAAAGGAGGGAGATGCTTGAGACACAGAGACACCTACGTAAAGATGGAAGTGCCGATTAGAGCTGTGCTGATATAAGCCACGGAATCAGGAGCCCCCAGGAGCTGGAAGAAGAAGGAATGTTCCTGCGCCGGAGCCTTTGGAGAGGTCACCATCCTGCAACCCTTGATTCCAGAACCCTGCCTTCCATAACTGCAAGAGAATACATTTTTGTTGTTTGAAGCCAGCAGATCTGTGGTAACCTGTTATAACAGCCCCAGAAACTAGTATACCTAATTTAATATTTATTGGGTATCTTTTCAGAGATAGTCTACTTTTTTTTTTAATTGCATTTTAGGTTTTGGGGTACATGTGAAGAACATGCAAGATTGTTGCATAGGCACACACATGGCAGTGTGATTTGCTGCCTTCCTCCCCATCACCTATATCTGGCATTTCTCCCCATGCTATATCTCCCCAACTCCCCACCCCCCACTGTCCCTCCCCTATTTCCCCCTGA